TACCCTGTGATTTTCATGATAGGGCAACATTATAGGTATTTTTTTTTCAAATTGCTTAACTATACAAGAATATTAGAGGATTTACTATTCCATTTATTTTGAATCATAGAGGTTAATAAAATTGAAGTAAAGAAAATGGACATTTTATTATTTAATAAAACTATCATTTTTATTATGTCAAATCATCAATGGAGAGGAGTTTTGCAGTAGAGGATCTATATTTTGACATGAGATCCATTTTACTTCTGGGTAGCTTTCCCAAAGGAGGGCCTACCAACTAACATTTAGGTTACATCCCTAAGAGGATAACATTTCCAGGCTGGGGTGACAGTGATATGTGGGACAAGGGGCAAAAGTATCTGACCAAAGGTGAGTGTAATTTGCAACCATTTTTTTAACCTTCAAAAGTTTAACATACCTTGACTTTCATAAAATTTTTTTTTTTCTTAATAGAGGTCTTTAGCTGTTTTCTTTTTTTGTACTGGGGCTTGAACTCAGGGATACTTGACCACTGAGCCACACCCCAACCCTATTTTGTGTTTTATTTAGAGACAGGGTCTCACTGACTTGCCTAGGGTTTCGATATTGCTGATGCTGGCTTTGAATTTGTAATCCTCCTGTCTCAGCCTCCCAAGCTGCTGGGATTACAGGTGTGTACCACTGTGCCCGCTTTAGCTATTAMCTTTTAAGCTGTTTATTTCACTGTTAAAACTGATAAAGTCAAATCATATTTTATTTCTCCTTGATGTGCTTTTGTAGTATTTATTGTCCAGTGGATTAAGAAAATATCGTAAACATTGATTTGCAATGAATCTTATTCCTGACTAATGAATTCTTGTCTGTATTAGAAAAATAAAATTCTAGGATATGGAACTTTGACTTTTAAAAGTTATATTAGACATTTTTAAGAGATTTTTGAGTTATTTAGAAATTTGTTACCCCTGAAAATTAAATAAAAGTTTAAAAAATGGGACAGTAAATAGATTTTAGAAGATGTGAAAGTAGAGACCACAAAAATGCATCAAATTTATAAAAGTTTTTAAAATCTAAGTTCTAGAATTTTAGAATTGAAATGAGCATTTGAGATCATCCTATCAAATCCCTGAAATTTGACACTAGAAAATTAAGGTCCAGGTAGGTTGTGATAGCCATGATCGTTCTTTTAGAAAATTTAAAATTCAGTGTGTCTGAGCTTATTACATCTATCAGCTTATTACACCTCTCCCTCCCCAGCACACTTTTTCCCATATCAGGTGTGAAGTCATTTCTTTATTTAGCCATCAGATACTTATCTAGCTCTGTTACATATAAGGATCTTGGTTGAGAACTTGGAACACAGATGGGATTTTCAAGACACGGTTTCTGGTCTGTGAGACATCCTGGATGGAGCGTTAGGCAGATGCAGGAGGCTTTCAGTTAAAGACAGCGGAGGAGTCTGATGGGTGCCGCAGGCCACATGTGCTCTCAGAGCTCAGCAGAGAGCAGACTCGCCATGATTAGAGAGGCTTCATGCCTGAGGCGGTGGGATTTGGAGGACTGCGAGAATTTTATTATGTTGGGGCAGACATTTCATTTGATATTGGAACTTCAAGGGAATAGGATGTAAGCAGCAGAAGGTAGGTGAGAAAATATAAATCTGTTATATAGATACGTTGGAGTTTTATAAGAAAGGTAGCAACAAGGTACAGACATGGCTTACTTTATTACACTTTGATTTATTGTGCTTTGCACATATTATATTTCTTAAAATAAATTGAAGATTTGTGGCAACCCTCTGTCAAGCAAGTTTAATGGGTCCATTTTCCTAACATGTCAGATGATCATTAGCATTTTTTAACAAAGTATTTTTATTTAAGGTATGTACATTTTTTAAACATAGTGCTAGTATACACTTACAACTACAATATAATGTAAGCATACCTTGTGTACGCACTGGGACACCAAAAACTCTTGTGTGACTTGATTATTTCAACATTGGTTTTATGGCAATAGTCTACAACGGAAGCCTGAATGTCTCCAGAGTATACCTGTATTGATCAAGGGCACAGACCCTGGATCCAGACTGTCTCTGTGCAAATTCCAGCCCCTTTCTACTTTCTTGCTTTGTTATCTTCAGCATTTACTGAATTTCTTCATGCCTCGTTTCCTTGTCTATAGAATCCCAATAAAAGACATCTTACTGGATTTTTTTTTTAAAGAGAGAGAGAGTTTTTTTTAATATTTATTTTTTAGTTTTTGGTGGACACAACATCTTTATTTTATGTGGTGCTGAGGAYGGAACCCAGTGCTCTGCACATKCTRGGCGAGCGCGCTAMCGCTTAAGCCAAATCCCCAGCCCCTTACTGGATATTTTAAGGATTAAATGAGTTAGAGGCCTTAGAATACTGATAGTAGTTAGAACTATGTAAAAGTTAAATAGATAATTAGTGGAGGATTCAAATGAGAAGATAGGTTGAAACCAGATTAATTGTGGGAGTTTGAGCCTTTTCTTGTAGGCATTGGGGAGAACTCTGGGCAGGGAAGGTAGCATAGTACACAGGGAGAGTTTGGGAAGAACAGTCTGCTTCCTAGGAGTAGCAAAAGACAAGAGGCAAAGAGCRGATTCAGAAGTGGTTAGCAGTAGTTTAGGCTTTTAAACTCAAAGGGCCTCTTAAGATGGTGATTATGAAAATAGAAGTGACAGATGCTAGTTGTATTTAATGGAGGAGAATGATAAGCTTTCAGATGTTATATATATATGAAGAAGGAGACAGGGCAAAGATAATATCAAGACTTTGCCTCTGGGTAAAGAGTGAGGTGACATAAATGTAGAACTTAGGACATGGGTTTATTATTGTTGATGTTGAAACTTTAACAAGAACTGAGGTGCTTCTGGGGAAAGAGATAATGAATTCCTTTTGAGTTTGAGAATTTAGTATAGTATTCACGTGGAAATACACCATTAGTGTTGGATATGCAGGGCTGAAGTTTGTTTGTTTTGGTATTGGGATTGAACCTGGCCCTTTTTTATTTTTTAATTTGACACAGGGTCTCACTAAGTTGCTTGGGGCTTGCTGAATTGCTGAAGCTGGCTTTGAACTTCTGATCCTCTTGCCTCAGACTCYCAAGGGGATGAAGTTATTGAGAGAGGTGAAGGACAAGGATATTCAGTGCCATTCAAAAATGAATATCTCTAGGATGAAATTTTCTCTAAAAAAATAATAGGCCTTCCTTATAAATTTTAAGTCCAAATTATGTCACTTTTTTTTCCCAAGGCAACACTTAAAATGATACTAAGAAGATAAGGGCTTGCCCAGAAGGTAGACTGCTGTATTTCTCAGTGGCTCAAATATATACGTATGCCTGAGTCACTCTTACGTTGAGACTCTATTCATCCACCAGGCCTAMCTCAGCACTTTCTAAACTGCACTGTAATTTATTTATCTCTGTCCCCCATTAAATTTAAAATTTTCTTAAAGATTTATGTGTGATTTCTGACTAGGTCAACCATGTATCCTCAGGGCCTAACACTTCGTAAGGATTCAGTAAATGTACCTTGGGGAAATACATATTTATTAGTTACCACGTGTCAAGTGATACGCTAAGTGCAGAGGACCAAAATGATTAAATAACAACCCACAGGAAATCATGGTCTTCGTGCAGATAAATATTTATTATTACAGATGCAGTGTATTGCGTGCAGTATTTGTTGCACAGGACAGTGTGGTAGTCAACATGCTGCTGTGGCAGCAGAGAGGAGTAACTAGATCTTGATGGAGAATATCAGGATGGTTTCCAGAGCAGGTGCCTCTGAGCCGAGACTTGAAAGACACCAGAGTTCAGTATGCAAATGTGACKAGGAAAGTCCCTAAGGCAGAATGGTTGTCTATCCAAACGTGAAAGGTGTAGGAGGATGTAGTRTGTTTGTGGAATCATATGGCTGAAGCATAGAGTGTTTCTATGGGTCATGTAACAAAAGACTGCTGAGTAGCTGGAGGTAGCTGCCTTTCTTGAAGAGCCCTATGTGTCATGCTAAAGATACTGAGTCAGCGAAGAGCTTTATCCGGAGATGACTTGCAAACGTAGAAAGATGCTCTTCCAGTAGCAGGAGGATTGATTGGTTGGAGGTGGACATAGCTGAAGAGAGGTAAGGAATATAATGAAGAGGCTGTCACAGTATTCAGAGCCACGGCACTGACTGTTTGGCCTGGATTTGTAAGAGGTGTTAAGAAAAAGTGTGATATAGGGAAAGGGAGAGGGATGAGTTGTATGACTCCCAGATTCCAGGCTCAACTGAAGGCKTATGTGGCGATTTCTGACACCACCTATGCAGAGTTGGRCCAAACTTCACAGGCTGAGAGCAGTTTTCCTCAAAATAAAAAAGACATTTTCTGTGACATGTTGAACCCAACATTCCTTGCCCTCAGTAAGGGACCAATCCTACCTTCCACATTCATCTATAATATATACCTTTTAGTCAAAAAAATTAAGATGCATTTGAGGTAATAAGGTAGCAGTGAAATTTACTGGTCATTCCAACATAATCAAATTAACTAGAATTGTGTCAGCTTAATGTAGTATAAATAAAATGGTATTAATCATAAAAAAGCCACTAAATACATACTAAAAACTAACCTTGAACTGCTTCTTACATTTGAAAACAAATACATCAAGTATTCTACAAAAACAAATCAGTGAATAATGAAAATGCCTTAAGAAAACCAACCCTCTGATGTCTTGAAGATCAGTGAATTTTTACATGGTTATTATTATTTCATCTCCTCAGGAACTTACTCCTGTAATTGTCACCTGTTTCCTATATCTTCTTATCTACTGGCTTTTTCTCCCCACAGTATAGAAACTTCAATCACTCTTCACTTTTTTTCTATCTATAAAATGATACTCCTGCCAAATGTACTGTGACCTTACTGTGACAGCTGTGTTTATGTACTTCAACATGATAATTTATAAAAAAGTATTTTAATCTGAAAAATCATTTAATTCATCTTTTGAAATTTCAGGGTGTGCTGATGGTTGGACCCCCAGGCACTGGTAAGACTATGCTGGCAAAAGCTGTTGCCACTGAATGTGGCACAACATTTTTCAATGTTTCTTCTTCTACACTGACATCTAAATACAGAGGTGAATCTGAGAAGTTAGTCCGTCTGTTGTTTGAAATGGTGAGTGATGGTGTATTCAGATTTAAAGTACTATTTGTGTGGGTGTATGGTGGCCCCACATTCTAGGTGCATTCCCCTAGGAATCTTTTCAAAAAGGGCTTGTGGTTATATTTCAATAGTTCTGGACATACACCCACCTTGAGCAATGGGTTGGTTGGTTTTGTGAGGTAGTTGATGTTCTTCAGTGTGTCTTTCTCTCTGAAGAGGGCCCTCTGGTGTCTTGCTCAGTGAGAGTAGAAGAGATTCTGGCTGTATATAGGTCAACTGGATAGTGTTTCTGGATATCTAGAAGATTGGTGGAGCAGAAGAATATTTTTATATGTATTTAATATATATATTAAATAGCACAGATCACTTCATCAGAAACTGACGTAGCATTAAAACTTGTTCCTTTTTCAGAAAGGATTTGTAATAATTAAGAATGCATGTGGGCTGGGGATATAACTCAGTTGGTAGAGTGCTTGTTTTGCATGCACAAAGCCCTGGGTTCAATCTCCATCACCACACATACACACAAAAAGAATGCATGTTTGAGGATAGAAGTTGATTTATCTTTCAAACTTTTTTCATTATGGATATAACCAAACACAAAAGTAGAATAGTATGGTGAGGGGCTGGGGATATAGCTTTGTTGGTAGAGTGCTTGCTTTGCATTCACAAGGTCCTGGGTTCAATCCCCAGCATCACCAAAAAAAAAAAAAAAAAAAAAAAAAAAAAAGCTACATGGGGATTCACCATACTATTCTATCATCCAACTTTACCAACCATATAACTTTTTCAGTTTTAGAAAGTTTTACTTATCTAATTGATTTAACTTCTGTTAGTAACCAGATTGTGGTGGCTTTGAAGTTGAAAGTTAGGTTTTCAACTTTCATTTGCTTTATTTTAAAAGGAAAAAAATGATATTTTAAAAAATTCAAATTATTTTATGAGATAGATGAATAATTTCTTTAAAATATTTTTACAAAGGCTAGGTTTTATGCCCCTACCACAATCTTCATTGATGAAATAGACTCTATCTGTAGCCGAAGAGGAACTTCTGATGAGCATGAGGCAAGTCGCAGAGTCAAGTCTGAGCTCCTAATTCAGATGGATGGTAATTGATATTTAATTATGTTTCAAAACTGGTATCTTTACGTTTTTAGCTTTGCATAAAATCATACTTTGGATGTTTTCAGAGAATGGACTAAAAGGAAGTCTGAATTTATTTTTAACTACTTATGTACCCACCCACTTGTTCATCTGTTGGTGAATTAGTACAGGACTACCGAGGCCTTCAAGGAGTCTCTGTGACAGCAGAGGCTCTAGAGGTGTGACCTCAAGTTCCAGGGGTCCTTGAGACCCCTTGAAAGGCTTTGCAAGGCCTAAACTATTTTAATAGTAATATCAAGACTTTGCCTTTTTACTCTCATTTTCTCACAAGTGTATGGTGGAGTTTTTCAGAGACTATGAGACCTAGGAGTAGCAGAAAAGGTAGAAACCAGAAGCAGATATGAAAATCCAGCTGTTCTCTGTTGAGTCAGACATTAAAATGTTTTAAAAAGTCTCTTTTTACTAAACTTATTTTCAAAAAATATGTCATTTATGTTAACTATTCATGGATATATTATTATTTTAAAATAATCATATTTTGTAAATTTAATTTATAAATGGTGAATATCAGTAACACCAGGTGGTAGCAGTTGGGCTCTGAGGGTTTTTCCTGAGGAGCTGTTTTGTTTGGCCTGTGTGGTTCTAAAAATAAAGTTCATTTCTTTTGACAAGTGGCTCCTGAATTGTGCCCAGCCAGACTGTGGCATTTGGTGGCCCGTACGGGGAACGAACCCGCGACCTGATATACTCCACACATACAAAAGCTCTTTGGCACTCCCAAGAATTTTTAAGATTGTAAAAGGGTTCTGAGACTGAAAATTTTGAGAGCCACTTTTAGCCAGGAAGCAGACAACCAATGAGAAMATTTGTAATACATGCTGATATGTTCTGTGGTAGAAGTAAGCTCTGGGTGCAGTGAAAACACAGTAGGAGTCTCACCACCCAGACTAAGGGAGTCATGAAGGGGATAGATGAGTTGGGCTTTGAAGCATTGGTTAGGGTTGTCCAGACAAAGAAAAAAAGGCATTGGGTAGCCACCCAAAAGAGTTTTGTGCTTAGAGGTGCTGCTTCCTCTGCTAGTGCGTGGTATGCACCATGAGAAAAGATTAAAAGCTATTAAAAAATATCCAGAGTATTTGTTTCAAAATAGTTACCCACTGACCATGAATACTTAATATTTATGGTGTGTTATATGTAGTGTCTTTTCCTCAGTTTGCCATTTTAACTTTTGCTTAAGTATGTGAGAAAGGAGCAGCTGTATTATGTTTTATAGGAAGGGTGTAGGGGAGAGTATTAGTTGTTCAAAGTTGGAAAAAAAAAACTGAATACACATTTAATCAGCAAAATTTCATTGAGACGTGTTTGTGACTGTGGTTGATTATCAGTTGGACAGCTTGATTCTTTGGGATAGGACAGAAATAGGAGTTTTAGTATTAATTTATTATGAAAATGCATATTAAACTTGGTGGCTCTAAACCCACTAATTTGTTATACCAGGCTAGAAATCGTATCAGTAAAGTTTGTGAGGTTTTTTATTTTTTTAAAGAATATTTTTAGGGCTGGGGATGCGGCTCAAGCGGTAGCACGCCCGCCTGGCATGCGTGCAGCCCGGGTTCGATCCTCAGCACCACATACAAACAAAGATGTTGTGTCTGCCGATAACTAAAAAATAAATATTAAAATTCTCTCTCTCTCTCTTAAAAAAAAGAATATTTTTAGTTATAGATGGACACAATATCTTTACTTTAATGTATTTATTTTTATGTGCTGCTGAGGTTTGAACCCAGTGCCTCACGTGTGCTAGGCAAGCACTCTGTATAATTCACCCATTATTTCCAGAGTTTCTGTTATGTGATCTAGAATCTTTTAATGTTCTTTTCAGTGCCTTATAGTTATACATAATATAGGGGTTTATTTTGACATAATCAAACGTGCATGGAATATGATTCGCTTCACTTCAGTCCCCAGTACTTCTTTCCTTTCCCTCCTCCCTTCCCTCATTTCCCTTTCTCTACTCTACTTTGACCTGAAATTTTATTTATATTTCTTAAAATTTAACTCTGAAAAGGCAGACTCTTTGTACATACTTGTAGTTGATTTGGTTATAAAAGTAAACAGTATTTAAATTAGACTCAGAACTAAAATAAAATAATTTTTGAGGAAATTTGTGGTTAAAAAAAAAAGAAAGAATGAAGCCGGGTATAGTGGTTAATGCCTGTGATCCCAGCGACTTGGGAGACAAGGCAGGAGTGTGGCAAATTTGAATCTAGTTCAAGACCCTGTCTCGAAAGAAAAAGGTATGGGGATATAGCTAGAGAAAGAAAAAGAAATAGACTAGTATCTGATGTCTTCTCAGAAGAAATATACTTATTTTCTTAGAAAATTTAGTTTTTCTTACTGCATTAGAACCCTGAACAAGATTTTGTGAATTTTTTTACTTCCTTGTTTTGTAGTTATCTGTTGTTGTGTCTCATTTTGTCACCAATTCTGCCACAAGCACTATGATAGAAATGTTAGTTGAATAAAATAGTAAAGGGCTGTAATAAAAACAGTGACAGCCTTTCCTCTCTTAATGTGTCTAGGAGTTGGAGGAGCTTTAGAAAATGATGATCCTTCCAAAATGGTTATGGTATTGGCTGCTACCAATTTCCCATGGGACATTGATGAAGCTTTGCGAAGGAGATTAGAGAAAAGGATATATATACCTCTCCCAACAGGTATGATACCTTCCTTTTATTGTACCTTGAATTCTTCTGTCATTTCTGGTTACCTTTTTCTCCWTATCTCTTTATTCCATTGTCATTCTGCTTAAATAAGTTTGTAGCATCACAAAACCAATTTGTAGTAKATGGAAACAGAGGCCACACAGTATTCTATTGAAGTACCTTATTTTAGAGAAATTCTTAGAGTCAGAACAGTATTTTTGTTAATAAATTTGGTAGCAATTAAGTTTTTACTTTGAACTTGAAGAGTCTTCAAACTTTAAGTGATTAAAAATGACATTCTCTTGGGGTCTTTTTAAAAACATGCTGCTTCGAAAAACATAATTTCATCTTAATGGATGTTCAAATTTTCATAAGTGATTTTTTTTCTTTCTATTTTGGGATAAAATTTGCATGTAGTAAAATGTACATGTCTTAAGTGAATAATTCAGTAAGTTTTGATAAATGTATCTCCCACTTTAATCAATGCCCCATTGAAGATATAGGACATTTATATTACCCTTGAAAGTTTCTGTGTACCCCTACAAGTTAATTTAAACCTCCATTAGACATTGTGTTAGTTTTTCATAACTGTGACAAAGTACCTTACATAAGCAACCTAAAGGAGGAAAGATTGAYTTCATATTCAGAAGTTTCAGTTCATGGTTATCTGGCTCCATGCTTTTAGGCCTGAGGTAAGGCAGAACATTRTGGCAGGGAGCTTGAGGTGGTATGAAGCTATTCAGCTCATGGTGGCTGGGAAGGAAAGATGGAAGGGGCTGGGGACAGGATATGCCCTTCCAGGGTACATACCTCTTTATGTACTTCTTCTGACTAGGACCTACCTTATGCAGATTCTGCCACTTCCTATAGTGTCACCATCTGGGGACCGAGACTTCAACGCATGAACCTTTGGCATTCCAGATCCAAACTATACAACATTCACTTTACCTGATTTTTATCACCACAGATTAGTTTTGCCTTTGTTAAACTTTATATAAATGGACTTGTAACAACATGTAGTCTTGCTTTCTGGCTACTTTCATTCAATGAAAAATTTTTGAGATCATTTATATGATTATAAGTTTTCAGAAGCTTATTCTTGAAATGATGATACCATAATTTATTCTTCTTTTGATAAGCATTTCAATCACTGCTAGTTTCTGGCTATTATGAACCAAGCTATAAACCTTTTTGTACAAATCTTTTTATGGATGAATATTTTTAATTTAATATAATTAGAATATATTAATATATTATAATTAGAATATGGGTCATATAGTAGGTATATGCTTAACTTTGTTTTTTTATTAGTTGTTCAAAACATACAAAGCTCTTGACATATCATATTTCATACATTTGATTCAAGTGGATTATGAACTCCCATTTTTACCCCGTATACATATTGCAGAATCACATCGGTTACACATCCACATTTTTACATACTGCC